GTCAGTTTGGTGTATGGATATAAGGCGTTTACCCAACATACCCAACAAAAGCAAGAGTATTCATTTTGAAATGAGGCTAAGTAAATTCACCCATGTCATTTGTATTCTCAGAGGAAGAACGTTCCCCTCTCAGTTTCAGACAGCTAACGTCTGCATACAAGTGTCTCTTTTGCTAGCACGTAAAGGAGAAAAAAGTCCGCTTTAACCAGGCTTTCTCGGTGCTTTGTTTTCTCAAAGCACCGTGATGTTTCGGACTTCAATGGACTTTACGATGCTATGAGAAAATAAAAAAGACAGAGCGAGAACACCTGTTTGAAGCTGACTTTTTTCCTCCTTTTTGTGTCTGATACATTTGTCCTGCTCCCGCTGTGGAGCTTTAACTGGTCCCAGTAACTTCTTTTGCTAATTATAAAGCTATTACAAAGTATTTATAAAGAATATGCATTGATCCTGCTGATAATTTCATAATTTAAAAAGAGCAGTGACATTTAGACATTGTTTGAGCCATTGTTGTTCTTGCGCCGGAAGTGGAAGTTCACAAAGTAGATAAACCCCGCCCACAAAACCCGGAAGCGTGATAATGGTCTATTGAGCATGGGCATTAGTGCTCTTTTTCTCCCACGGGCACACACAAGCACAGTCTCGTGTATCATATGATCGTTTTGACCAATCAGAGCGAGAGGAACTAGGGCGGCGCAGATCAGAGCCGGAGCTAATGATTATAAAGTGTTTTTTAAGACAACTGAAGGATTTTGAGAAAAAGTTTATGATCTAAAAATAGGTAACAAAGTCCAACATTTTTGAAAGTTGTAGGTGCCCTGTCAGCCGAACACAAGCAGTTTGTGATTACATTGCTCTCTATGAGAAAAAATCCTGTCTCAGCCCGGAGGATTTTTTCTGCTAAAGTACCAGTGAGTTACCACTACGTCAACTGGAGGCTGCTACAAGTTAGCAATGCTCTATCCCGTTATTTTAATAGATCCATGGCTTTCCAGTAGACCTCCATTAAGTCACTTCGACTTAGTGAACTCAAAGACCAAACTTATGACTCAAATAAAATGATATGAGCACATTTAACATGATAAATACATGTATATGCAGATACACCTTCAATTTTAAACAAAATATTAAACATATAGCCTAATACAAAATAATGACTTTATTAAAAAAATTTCCAGGTCAAGTTAGGGAGTGTGGCACACTTGTGCCCTCTATTGACCAGCCGCCAAAGAACTTGTGTAAATCTTGCCTCAAATATGTCTGTCAATGGCATAAACTACAAAAAAGCGATGATTGTTGTGCATGGAACATGTGGTGGTCTTACAGATTTTTCTGAAATAATACATCTCTTCATTACAAAAGATGAGGTGTTTCTCATCATTAAAGAGTATTTGGTAAATTGAATTTACTGTTTAAACTATGGACATTATGTTTTTAATTTCTTGAAAAAATGCATTGAGCGCAGACTGGAAATTATAGTTTAATCTTTAGCTAAATTAAATTGGATCCTTTTTACATGTTTTCATGTTTTTTTAATATGTATGTATATGTTTTAGTTTTAAATCTGATGGTATTTTTAAAAGGCATGCATTTCTCAAGGTGGTGTCTCTGTAATCCCTCAGTTGTCCAAGTAGGTTCCATAGTAAAAGAAAAGTTCCATTCTCTCAACTGGAGGGAAGTTTTTTGAGTGATGACGTTTAGTAGCTCATTCAAGCAAGTACTTCAGTTCTGGTCTGACACTGGTAAACACTGCCTTATGTCTGAAGGGAGGAGCTAAAGCAGTGTCCACCAGTAATTTGACCAAAACTGACGAAGCTGCTTTTTTCCTTAGGTGGTACCATTATTAGGCCTGAGCCCCTACACGGCATAGGGCCTATTACTTTCGCAATGATGAGTGCATGGGTGTTGTCAACTGTCTTGCACTTCGCCCTCAACTTCATCCCTTGGTCGCCCCCTACTTTAACTACAGTATCCTAGGGACCCATGCCAAAGGCATGGGCCATATTGATAACTGCTAAAATGAATAGAAATCAATGGGTGTCAATGACCGACCCAGATGTGATGGCGGATGTTGGATCTGAGAGGCAGTTGAATTCAGCGATAGCAGCTAGGAGACCATGGACATTCTTCAGAGATGTCCGTCATGCACCTACAGGATCTTGGATGTTATTCAAACTTGTTCCAATAGCAGCTGACCTTCAAATTTGCAATTGCAGGTGGAGGACATGGGGTGTTCTTCAGACATGTCCATCATGCAGCTTTGGACTCAAAGGATCTTCATGCTCTATAGTCTATAGGGTCTGGAGGACTTTTGATGTTCCTCAGAGTGATAGTCATCCAGCTGCATGATCTTGGATGTTCTTCAGAGACATGTCCCTTATAGCAACTTAGCCTTAGCTTTTCAATAACTGGGAGTAATGGAGAAGAGGTGGAGCTAGTGGTGAGCCAGTGTCCTCACCTGACTTCATCAGATCATACTGAATTGAACAGGCCAGTTGAACTGTCTGTAAAATGTATTCTTCAGATCTAAAGGTTACATTATTTTCTGATTTCTTTTATAATGTTGTTTCCTCATCAAAAAACACCGAGAGTTGTGTTTTGCTTCATTCACACATTTAACACACAAAGCCTACATATATAGGCTGTGCTCTTCTCGCAAACAGAAAACATAATTTTCCACCTTGTGCTGTGGTAATACAAGAAGTGTACCTCTGTGTTTTTAAAGTCCATACACCTTCATTAAATCACTTGAATGATTGCAGCCTGGAATTTCTTTACTAAATAAAAGGTAAAAGGTAGCTGATAACTAGAAAACTTCTGCTATATACATGACATCACAAGGTGGAACAGAGCATTTTGAGTTTTAGAGATGCAGCCAGACTAATAATAAAGGATTATTCAAATATCTGAGAATGAAATCAAAATAACATACTTTTTGAGTATGAGTAATAATTCATGCTACCAACTGGGTAGTCATATACTCTTGTATTTCTTGTGCTCACATAAAACCCACAAGTTGCATAGTTCAGAAGTGTTTATTTGCAGTGCATTACATTCAGGTATATGCTACATTGTTGTTGCATATTTGGTTTACAATCTTCATGATATAACCAAGTGCATTTTTTCTGAGATGAACTATTGGATTATGTTTTCTTTGCTTGTTTATGTGCCACCATTTACAAACCCTTTGCAGAAAGTTGGGACACTTAAATTCTAAACACAAATCAAATTTGTTATTATTATTAGCACTTAGCTTATTTAATTAGCAGTATTTTAGTTACAGTTTCCTTAATTGGAAATTCTGAAGTTTAAATACAAAGTATTTAAGTGAGAAAATACACATCATTAAACAAAATTCTTTAGTGCCACAGTATATCACGTTTGAATCCATAGTTGTTTTTAATTACATTTTACACAGTGTCCCAGACTTATGTCGAATTGGATTTGCAGGTCATATTCAGTGTTGGTCAAACCTACAGTACATGAGATGATTGGAGCTGCACATTTTTGGTCCTGTAAGTATTTATTGTAAATGAAAACTGTAAAAGAGACAATTTGATAAAGCACCTAAGATCAGAAGGTAGCTGTCATGTTGGAGAAAAGACTAGTACATTATATTTTTGTGTATATAAAACAAAAGTATTCAGGCTTATATTCACCGTAGAAAACACAGTACAAAAATATTACACCTATTCCTAAATCCATTAATATTTAAAGATGCACTGTGTACATTTTCTGGTGAAGGATTCGCCACCTACTTGTCTCCATGGAGATGCCTAGAATGTTACATAGCATGGCATTATACTTATTTCATTCCAACAAGACAAGATACAATCAAGCCAAGGTACAGGTCAGATCTGTGGAGAGGTGAATCCGCTCACAGTGAGAATTTCAAGGTATATTTGAGCAATATAAAAAGGAGTAATGAAATAAATGCAAAATAGATGCGTTTAATGCCATACTGTAGAACATCTGAGGGAGATGGGCAGGTGGTGGACCCTCCATAAAACAGTGACATAGTGCACTTTTAATGATTGCTTTGTTATGAAAACCTGAATTTGTAGTAACACTATAGGCCAGTAGGGGCAGCAACAATGCCATCAAATCCCTATAACTCAATGTTTAATGTTGCATACACACAGTTTCCACATCAAAGTATTCAAAAATGTTTAGCTTTCATTGCAATCTTACTTATTGGCTTTTTGGTCTACAAAATTGATACATTTTTTGGTTCACAGTAGCAGAGTGGTTAGCCTCCTCTCCTCGCAGCAAAGATTTGGTTCTATCTCTGTAGCCTTAACCAGTGGTTCTCAAACTGCATACTTCTTCAAGTAGGACACATATACATCTGCAGTTTAAATGTGTGCTGAGTTTTTAGTCCATATTTTGTTTTATCATTGCCTATTGCCTAGTTATTTAGACCTACTGATACACAATGCTCAAATAATCGTGACAAGGTTTTAGAATGAAAAAATACAAAATGGATTTAAACAACACATTTTCAGGAGCCTGTGATTAATACGAACTTTCATGGTCCTTTAACTTCTTGGGATCTTTTTAAAGACAATACAGTAAAATGTATTTACCTTCCTTGTTGACATGTTTCGGCTGCTGCAAGCCATCTTTAGAACTGTCACCGGTGTTGGTGGTGACATGCCCTATATCAGCTGTTGTTACTTCCTGTAGGCATGGTCAGCCTGATGGACCTGGAAGATCGCTCAGACTGACCATGCCTCCCCTCACCCGGTGTTCTCTGGAGAAGAGTCCCAGGTGTGTGAAAGGAGAAATGCTCCGTCATCATCTTGTCTGTGCCTCATTTCCTGATTTCAATAGCCTCCCTGATCCAGCATTTGAACTTGTTGTTTTCTGTTGTTTCCGAGGCCATTGAAATCAGGAAACTATAAGAAGTAACAACAGCTGATACGTATTCGACATGTCCCCAACAACACCGGTGACAATTCTGAAGATGGCTTGCAGCTAACAGCTGAAACATGACAAAAAAAAAAAAAAAAAAGAACTGTATTGTATTTAAAAAGAAGTTAAAGTACATAAGATGACAAAATTTACATCTTTGGCCTTACATGGTCCTGTTTAGGTGTCAGCTAGCTAAGTCAGATCTTTCTGGTCAGATTGTAGAAAAACAAAGCTCAGATTAAAGTCTAAATTGAGAATCAGAGTGCCTTAAGTTAGCTTCACCCCCAATAGTATCAATTGTAGACCTTGACTAGTTCTGTTTTGGACCTGGTTTGGATCTGGTGGTATTTACAAGGGCAACTATTTTCTGAAATGGTACATGGTATGAAAAGATTTAGAACCACTGGTCTAGATTTGGTTTTTTTTTAAGCAACAAAGTGATACAGCTGATTCAATCTCATTTGTGTATCTTAATACCATAACAGCATATAACTCTACAGAAAGCAGTGTTGCCCCTGTACGTCAATAACGCATTCAAATACACTTTAATCTGGTGTGAAAAAATGTATATAAATCATAAATGTGCCCTCAACACAAAAACATACAACACGAGCATCACCGCCATTAGCCTTGTGCCGCTCATATTGACCCTCGCTGCACTCTCTCTCCCCTCATAGCGCTCGCCTTGCTCGTCCTCCCACTCCGTCCTCTTCCTCTCCTGCTCCTCCTCCTCTTCCTCCCTCCGCCCCGTATCGTCCTCCTCCTTCACTATGTTGATGCTATCACAGCTCTCCCCCTCGTGGCCCTCATAACAGTGGCACTTGAACCTGTCCCGGAGCAGCTGGAGGTCCTGTGTGGAGGGCCAACCCGTGACGGTGAAGTCCCCTTCACCGGACGGGGCGATGCGGTGGGTGTGGGGGCTGAGGTGCAGGTAGTGGCGGGCACGGGGGTTCTTTCGGACACAGCGGCCATTGCTCTGGCACAGGGAGTCGCTGCACAGCTCTGCCGCCCTGGTGACATTGGTGATGTACTGGCCCAGGCGATGGCTCAGGAAGTGCTTGACTTTGGTGCAGTTGTGCTGGAGAGGCAAGATGGAGAGGTTCAGTACACCCCAGAAAAGTATTATTCATTGTTTGTTATTGGCATTTAAACATAATTTTGAGTACCTTTGCTTTTATGTGCCATGTTTTAAAATGTATAATAAAGCATATAACAACTAGAAAAGCACTCAGAGAGCGCAGACCTCCGCCAAGGACTACCCCCATTTTTATATAAATTGCGATAAAATCAGTCTTCTGGATCAGATCCGGATCAGCCTTTGGAATATGAAAGAGGATCCCATTGTCCATCCCTGAGCCAAATTTCATGGGGTTTGGTCAATAATTAACCGAGATATTGAGAAACAAAATTTTTGGCCCCATTTACCACAATGTTAACTAAAATTTCAAAGTGATCCAGAATCCAGGATTTCTTCCGGATCACCCCCAAAATGAAATCATTTCTTCCTTTTCACATTTCCAACAAATCCTGAAAATTTCATCAAAATCAGTCCATAACTTTTTGAGTTATGTTGCTAACAGACAAACAAACAAACAAACAGACAAACGCAGGCAAAAACATAACCTCCTTGGCAGAGGTAATGAAACATGAAAAAGAAAAAAAAAACACTACCCATTAAAAGATGCACTACGTCACTTCTTGGCTGGGGGTCCGTTACCTGCTTGTTTCTATGGATATGTCATTGCTCTGTCTGGAATGTTCCACAGTCTGACATTAAATTATTTTTCCTCATTTTTATGTGGTTTTACTGCTCAAAATTGACTAGAAAAACAAGCATTCTGACTTGGTCTCCATGAAGATAGAAAGGTTTAATGCCATACTATGAAACATTCCAAACAAAGCAAAAATATCTCATTTTCATCTAATCAGCATTTGACGGACCCTCCACCAGAAAAATTACACAGTGTACCTTTAATAAGAAACGTGACCAATAACCAATATAGGCACATAATTTGATGGCAGAAATGTATGTACTTAATAACTGAAGTATACTTCTGGATTTATCTGTGATGTAACAATCTAGGTGTCAGAAAATAACAGAGATATTAACACAAAGAAAAGGCAGAATTCAGGTTTTTACTCACAGCGAGGGACAGTGGCGCTGCTACAGCTCTTAACTGTCGAAGAGTCATTTTCCCATGCCACGTATTTATTGAATCACACAGGTTACAATAATAAATGGGCGGTTACATTTTTCTAACAAAGTAAAAAAGCACAGAAAATAAAAGTGTGTATGTGTGTCTGTGTGTGTGTGTGCCAGCTGCTAAGGTGTAGGGAGGACTGTACGTGCGGAAGATAACAGATAATGAGGAACTGGTTTTCCCATGAGAAATACCCTTTGATAATAATAATACAGAAGAAGCATATATACAGCACTTGAAAAAACTCTTTTAACACTAGGTAAAATTGCATAAAGACAGCTTTATATACTAGATATGTTGTTGATGTGGGGACAGCAAGGTTCAAAACAACATTTTGCATTTTTCCTTATTTGTTCTTCTTGAGGAAATCCCATAGAAAATCAAGAGGTCAGAGGTTTTGTGAAAAGTATGTGTTTCAGCCACTTTATCAACGCAGTTGCCATAGATTGTGCTGGTTATAAAATATGTAAATATGCACTTTAGGAAATCGTGGTTTAACTGTTTGCCAACAGGCAGTCACATGATCCAAAAACAATGTCCTCATTGTGATACATTTGTATAGAATTCCTCTGTTGAACTGTGCATTGTATTGCAAAACCACAAGTGCATTCTTGTTGGGTCTGACATCCACACTGTCTGCAGAAATGAATTATGTTTTTAGCATGCAGACATTGTGGTCTGTATAAACAATATCAACTAAAATGGTGAACTCTGTATGTTCCATAAAAAGCAGATGATGACAGTACTATTTGTAGACTCACCCTGGACGAGGTCAGGTTCAAGTCTCCCCAGATGACGAAGCCAGCTGCCCCCAGAGCTGCACTCTCCCCAATGGTGTGGATCAGGTCTTTCTGCATAAGACACAGAAACATGTTACAAGAGAAACTGCAGAGAATCCAGGTAGGGAGACTCACTGATGCCACCACAGGATATAACTACACATTGTATAAAACAGAACCCTGTGGAGGTTGTCTCCCTCTCGTGGTGGACCAAAGAAAATATTGATAAATATTAGATGCATGCAAGTAGCCCGATTCATAAGCCGGGTTTCACTTTGTGGAAATCGTCTAACCTTGCAGCATTAGAATTTGTTCGCATGAAGGTAGGCGGGTACTTTTTTATTCAATCAATTGCTGCTATTTGGTCATGACATATGTAATGCGCCACTGACAGAGCTAACTGGTATATTAACCCTGGAGAACCCATGGGGTCAAATTTGACCGCTGTTAATTGCTGCTACCCAAAATGAACAAACAAAAAAAAAGTCAAATTTAACCTCAAAAGCTCAGAGTGCTACTTCTGGCCCCTGCATAGAGACACCTAGTGGATAAATATTGAACTGACATGAGCCAGAGTGGGAGTGACAAGATAGCAAATACACCAAATGGTGTTTTGTTGAGCTGGAAACCTACCCAAACAAAATTCTCTTCTCAGCAAACCAGCGGTAGGTAAAATTGTTAATTTATTTAGTATTAGCCTGCAGAATGCCTAGAAGTACTTTTTATGTTCTTTATAGATAAAATAGCAACTCTGAGCTAGTCCAAAAAGCGATGGGTCAAAAAGGACCCCCTGGGTGTACGGGTGAAAAAAATGACGGGTCAAAAATGACCCTTTGGTCTAAGACTACAAAAAGTCTTGGACTTTGCAAATAGTGACAGTGTTGGGAGTGTTACTTTTAAAATGTAATCCCCTACAGATTACAGATTACACACCCCAAAATGTAGTTTGTAACGTAATCCATTAAATCACTTAAAATGAGTAACGTAATCTGATTACTTTGGATTACTTGATATTGTCATGTTTTTTTTTAAACAACATGAATGTAGCAACCACATCCTGAAAATTCTTGTTTGTTGTCTTCAAATTGTCTGAGCCCAAGTCTCCATGAATAAGCAACTGTTTGCTGTAGAGAAACAAAGACCACGATATCTTAATATAAGAGGTTTTGTCTGTTAAAAGACAGTAACAAGATCAGCCTTTCCTTCACCATATTAAAAAAATATTATTGATAGAGAAATAATTTTTTATATGAGATCACCTTAAATTATGTCAACCTAATGTTAGGTGTCATGTTGTTTACACCTGATTTTAGACCTGGTTTACTCCTGATTTTAGACCTGGTTTCGACCAGGTCTTTAGTTCTGGTTTAGTTCTGGTTTAGTCCTAGTTTAGTCCTGGGTTAGTCCTGGTTTTAGTCCTGTATTAGTCCTGGTGTTAGTCCTGGTGTTAGTTCTGGTTTAGAGGCGCACAGGAGGAAGCGCGGTTTACGCGAGAAACACAGTCCACACGCAGCGCACGAGACGACGGTGTCCGCGCTGTAACTACGGAAGGAGACGTGGTCCGCGGGTTCTCAGGTTGATGACGGTGATGAAGGTGTGTGTTTGTTTGTGTGTGTGTGTTTGTGTGTACGTCCCCTCATGTCGCAGGTCACTATAGGACAGTAGTGCAGATATTATGAGTCTATGCAGGTTGTTTTCACCAGTGCCAGTAGCTCCGGTTTCACATTTAAGTTGTAGGTTAAGTTGTTTTATATATATATATATATATATATATCACATCGGGAGAAGAATTTCCAAGACACAAATGCGTTGTTACCAATGCACTGCTGCTTCCATTGTGTGACTGACACCGCCAACTTTAACATGACGTTTACATCGGTCTTATTGTCGCTTTCTGTTTGGGTTTCCGGCAATGAGTGGAATTACCGAAATAAAAAAATAAATAAATGGGAGGTAGCACAAAATGTGAAAACAGGAAAATACCGCCTTGTAATCCACTTATTTCAGCAAAGTAACTGTAATCCAATTACCACTCATTGAAACAGTAACTGTAACGGAATACAGTTACTCATAATTTGTACTCTGATTACGTAACGGCGGTACATGTAATCCGTTACTCCCCAACACTGAGCCTTGAATTAAATTCATTTGTAGAATATAATGTAACAATTTGAAAAATGTATGATAAAATATATAAATAGAGTATATAAATAGTATAAATAGTGTATCAGCTACTGTATATATAGAGGCCTGTAGCCATGCATGTAAATACATTATTTTGTAAAGGGGTCTGTATTCTATTGATTAATTTCATTCAATACCAAGTGTCTTTGGGCATATTTTACTAAGTTCAGTAGGTAGTACACGGCCAGAGACTAATAAAGTAAATACCTATTATCTTTTCAGGGAATATGGCCGCTCCCTTTTCAGCACAGGGAAAGGAACAGAGAAAGTTCACTGTAAGACAAGTATTAGAGCAACTTGAAGCTGATGATAGAGACTTTGGCCCTGAATTTGACAGCGATAGCGATTCTGATTAATTGTTTCAACCAGATGTTGAAAGTGATGATGGTGAATCTCCTGCCCAAGACAATGACTAGTCCAATGATGAGGATGTGCCATTTGCCGAGACTGCTAGGCCACAGATGGAGCCAAATCATGCCGCAAAAACTTACAGGTGGTGAAAGAAAGACATTGAGTTGCCTGACATGATCTTTCAAGGTGAACAGGTTGAGTCATACCAGGATGCCATGACAAACCAGACCAGATGAGCTGAACATCCAGGAGTACAATGATTCCATGGGAGGAGTTGACATGCTGGATGTGCATCTTGAACACTGTAAATTTCCCATTTGGACCCGTCGTTGGTATATGATACTTTTCTGGCATTTCTTGTCTATTGCGGTGATCAACATTGACAGTGTTTCCCATTGTCATTCTTTGAAATAATATGCCTAAAACCCAATGGGTCAGATTTTTTAATCCTAAATTAGGGAATAAAGGGTTAAAATTGAAAAAGTTGATATTTTGGTGTTCAGTGGACTCATAGCAGTCATTTAATGCATGTTCATCATTTTCCAAAGAAGAAAAGGGTTCTTGGGTTCTCCAGGGTTAAGTATTTCATCAAATCCCATAGGAAGAAGAGCAATAACTAGTCTTTCCCCTTGATAAAATTCACTGAACATTCTCTTTGTTCCGGCTTTAAATCCTTGATCTCGGGAAGCGTTGCTAACACAGAATGTATTTCTCTTCACTGATTGGCTGGTGCCTGGACTCACACTTCCGGAGTTCTTTCAAACCATCTAATGTATTCCGATTCCTGACCTAGTCGCTGGAGAGAAATGAAATTGAGCGGAAGCACTAGGTGGGGCCAGCCTGGATAGCATGCAAGGCCCTTTAAATTGAACTTCATACAAATGATCATGCTCTCGCAATCCTGAGCAGAGCCAAATAAACAACAAACAACACTGACATTCCCTAACCATATCAACCATTAAAGTGGTGGAAAGAATACAGAAAAAAGTATGCATGAGAAATAGTACTTAAAGTAGTTTTAGGCAAGGCTGTTTAATTTAACTGTCTAATGATGAAATAAGTTGTTTTAAATCACAATCCACTTATTCTCAATCAGAGCTGGCAATGCAGTCCATCTGTGTGTTTGAAGATGTAGAAAGGAGTGGAGCTATCAAGCATGTATTGGGACAAAAGAGAGTTGAACTGTACAAATACATGTTAGAATTATACTGAATTGCAAGTACAACAACAGGTATTAAAAGCAACTCAAAAAACTATAATTACAAAAAAAAAGGTGAGTAATTGCAGTTAGTTACTTTACACTTTCGATTGCTATTTCACCATTGCTCATGTATTTTCCCATGCACTGACTTACATTAGTGAGGAAAGCTAGTGCCTCATCCCTGTAGCCCATCCTTAGATACACATAGGTGGGCAGGTCGTACTCCTTTGAGGTCAGCGATGCCACCCTGGTTGCCTCCCGGATCCTGTGCTGTGAAAAGTGCAAGTTACTAATACTATTGGTGTGGCTTTTCCTTATGGCCACTGACGGAAACAGGGCCGTACTACTGTTCCAAAGCCATAGCAACTCATCATTCCTCATCCTCTCCAGCAGAGGGCAGAAGCCTGTGTAGTTTTGCTCATGGAGGTTGTAATTATGACAGTCAGGGTAGAGGTAGAATCCCCATAGTCCATTGGGGCGTAGGCGAGTGCCCAACTGAATAGTCCGTTGCATGAAAGCTTTTGCGCTTTTTTCAAATCGTCGTCTCGCTAACTCCTCAATTTGAGCCGCTGTTACGTTAAAATACGCCTTGCTAGTCAATTCTTTAGACTTTTTGCGGTATATCTTTCTTGTGCCAGTTCCGACTCCATTGCGGTCGCCAAAATTCCCAGTCTATTACAGCAAGACCTCGGAAATCTTCTGCTGGGATAAAATGGTTGATGTCTTGAAATGCTTTAAACAAATGTAGTTCAAGACTGCAGTTTTGAGGAAGTCCACCATGTACTGGATCCCCTTGTGGTGTATAGTATGGGTAGTATCCCAGTCTATTGGCATAAAATATCGTAACATTTTGGCCTGTCCAGTCGGCACGTGGGCTACCGTGAATGTGAAAAAGTTTCTCGAAGTTGGCGCTGATGTTGTATTTGATGGTGCACATGTCCAGAGGTGCGTTCCAAGCGGCGATGAAGGGTTTTCGACCAATCAGAGGAAGCTTGGCCGGTTTCTGTGCGAATGCGGCGTGGAAGAGCAGCAAAAGCCATGAGCAAGTGAGAGACACAGGGACGATGTGGGAGGAGGAAGTCCCGCCCACTGGCACCACAGGCATCCTGGGATCAGCGGCTGTCAATCATCCTGGAGGAGAAACAGAGAATAGGATTAGCATTAAGGATGTAACGACCAAAATATCGTGACGTCAAAAGTCTCAATAATATCATGGACCATCACAGTATATCAAATTGCAAGTCTTTTCACTTAAATTAACAGTTATGGTGCAGCATGGACTAAATAAACATGACATAGGCCACGGTCCTGTGTTCTGTTTCAGCGCCGATTACAAGAAATAAGTTTTAAAGTTTTAAATCTTAATGCTTTGGATTATGACAAAAAGTCTTGTCAAGGCATTTTAAAAGGAAAAAGTAAAATATTCACAGTGTTGTTAGCCTCCACATAATATTGCAATGAATATCGTACCGTGAGCTGCATATTGTGAAAATATTATACAGAGAGATTTGGATATAGTTACATTCCTAATTAGCATAAATATAGGCATTTTGTAGAGGGATGAGCCACGTACCAACAAAATTCGTTTCAGTATTTTCTTCAGATAATGATTTTGGTTTTATCAGTATTCACAACTTGGAATTTGTCTTCAAGAGGCAATTAAAGGAGCTGTACCTGATTTTTACTGTCTTGAAAACATGAAAAAACACAGCTAGAAGACCTACATTTTATAGGCCTACTGCATTCTAATTATTCTGTTTATGAGCTTGTTTTATACATTTCAGAGCTGTGAGCTGAGTTTTGCTTGCACAGTCATGCATGATATGAACAAATACATGATAGCTGTTTGCGTTACTTCCTGATTCACAGCTGATTTAAAAAAAAACTAAAAAAAACACTTGCACAGAATAGGGGTGAGACAAATCGTACGTGAATAGAAATTATGTATAGCCCCTCCAAAGCCATCTGCTGCTTCTGAAAATGAACACTTCACTGTGATTGGTTACACTCACATGTCACTCACTCTGAGCATAATGGAGGCTGACCAATAGGAGGAATGGGTGGGGAAAGTGATTTGAAATTATGATTCTTATCAAGGCCATATGTAGTGATTTTCTTTAAATATTTCCTCAAATGTTCACCCTTAGGAATTGGGTAAAGAAAACAAATATTATAAATAAAATCCCTTGCAAAATGTGGGTCAGTTGTTTCAAATCTGCTATACCTCAGGAAGTTCCCAGACCAAACCACATAGCTTTACTCAGTGGAAAAGTGCCTAAATATATAACAGCATGGTCACTGACAGACTCATTTGGCTGCATCATTCCTGGAGAACACAGTGTGGTGAATGTATGGAGCTCTGGATTAGAAATGGTTTACTTAATAATACGTAATTTCTGTTGGGAGAAACCTAATTATATGTTAGTCACACTTAGATAAACGGCCGTGATCCACCCTGCTGTTATGCTGTTTACTTAAAATTATCACAGACTTTTACAGCCACTTACAATCTCACTTATCAGCATTTTGTAACATGTAAAATCCAAGACATACTGTAGATGACACAGCATTCACCATGTCTTAAAACAGAAACAACCATTAGAATGATCTATCAGTCTGCCAATATGCAATTAGACAGTAGTGAGATGATAGTAGTAGCCTTCTTAGATTTGTATATTTAACCCACTTTTCCCAACAGGACACAAACCAGCCTTTACAAATGCAGTCATCTCTTCAATTTTATAACTATCTATAGTGTTATTTCCCACCATGTGGTCAATTTTTTCCTGTGTTAACCATTTTTTAGTTATACATTTCTTACTAGCAACCAGCAAGGCACTAAAATCTGATCTATCTATCTAATGTTGTTTCCTCATGAAAAGAAATGCTCTTGTGATGTCATGTGGCTATACAGGAAGTGCTGGACTGTGTGGACTCCATACACCTTCACTAGAATCATTTGGATCATTTCAGGCCTGGAATTTCTAATCTTTACTGAACAAAACTAAACTCCAGGCATGTATAACATGGTTTAAAGTTCACAAGAGTCAATTTGGCAGATAATATAGGATCTCTAGACATTATATAATATAGGACCTCTAAACATTAAAATGTGGCCAAACCTCCTTGTCAGAGCCTGAGCTTGTCAGATCTCAGAAGCTAAGCAGGTCTGGGCCTGGTTAGAACTTGGATGGGAGAATGCTGGGAAAATCAGGTGCTATAGTGGGGCACCAGTGGCAAAAACTGTCAGTGTATACATTGCATACATCAGTCTGCCCCAGGTCAGTTGTGGCTATGTGGGGAAGCTGGCCAAAGTGGTCGAAGAAGGAGGCAGATGACACAAAAAAAAAGGTGTCTTACGCAGACAAAATTTATTTTAAAAAACAGACTTCTGGGTTTAACCAACAAAAATACAAATAGACAAAAAATAAGTAACTCAAAGCAAAACACCAAATACCTGCACAGAAGTCTTCCCCTAATTAGTGACACCTGCTTGCCTTTTATACTCCGCCCAGGAGGAAGTACCTCCCCCAGGTGAGTAACAATTCCAGGTAAAGCAAAGCAAAAGGTGTCTTTCCAAAATCAAAATGGTTAACATAAATTAAGGTGAGTTTAAAATAAGACAAAGGCCCACTTTGTCACAGGCGTAGTAGTAGTTTACCACCTCTCGATATGAAATGATTGAATAACGCATCAAACTGTGAAGTGACTTTGAGCATCTGGAAAAGTGCTCTATAAGACTAATGCATTATTATTATTATTATTATTATTATTATTAGATTGATAATAAAATCTATAATTTAAAAGGGCAATAAAAAAGGTGTGGGAAAAATATGATATGGTGCAATATGATAAAAAGGTCTACAAAGACTAATTACAGCTAAATTATTATTTTCATAAACTTAAAATTTCAAGTTAGACCATGATTCTACCAACATTTATTGAAATTTCTTTTTAACTTATTGTTTCAGGTTTGTGTTTAAAATAGGTTTGTACATTTTAGTTTTAGACCCAACGAGAGGTCAGAGGTCATGAGGAAGCATTTGAGCACCAATCTTTGGTTGAGACGTGACTTCTTGTCCACACTGTAGACCTCATAATGACAGGCTCCACTGTCGAACTGTCTGGGACCTGCCACTATATTCAGAGAGGCATAGGGACATTAGCCTGGTCAGTCAACACCGCATGCTTTTCCTACACTACGAAGATAGTCTGGGTCCCTGTTTATCACAAAATAGACACTTCTGAGCTTTAAATCATATTATAAATATTGTTACCTCATCAAAACCATACCTGGGGTAGTGTTTAATTTATACATGTTTGAGAAATCCTTTATTATTAGTCTGTCTACATCTCCAAAGCTCAAAATGCTCTGTTCCACCTTGTGATGTAATATAGTGGTACTTCTCACGTTAACAGTCCAGGGCTGAAATCATCCAAACAGAGTTCAGATAATACCATAATATGGACCCTTTATTTAGAGAACAAATGTTTTTGTATTCCTTTGGGTTAAAAATTGTTTAGAAATGAACTTATCCATCGTTTTAGTCTCATTTTCAACCTGTTTTAGTTATTGTAGATATGACCAAGCTCTAGTTCTAGCCCTAATTTAAGCCTGATATAGTCCAGGTTTGGATCTATGGTACTCAAAAGGTGGTACTTGACGAGAAAAATTTGAGAACTGTTCCCAAAAGTGGAGATGGGTCCCAAGGCAGAGCTGTGGGTCATGAGATGATTTCAAGATGTCATTTTAAATTCATGACTCAGTATTTAATCAACTCTCTGATTTCAAACAGGACATTTTAGGGAAAGTGGGTCAAATAATAAACTATTGATATAAATAAGAGTACACTAGATTTAGCCCGTTGCTAGAAATGATTACTGCTGTCAATTTCATTTTATCAGTTCATTGCATGGTTATTTGAGGGGTCCCAGCCTGAGAAGTTTGATGGGTCTGAATCACAGATTAACCATGAAATAAAAATAATAATTATAACACAGCGAATTAAAAAAAAAAATCTCATTAAAAAAAAATAAATCTGAGGTGAAAGAAGTTTGATTTTGTTCTGGTTGACCAATGACCTCCTCCGTTTCAAAGTGTCAATCACTCAGATAAACAAGCTTGGTTCAGATTTAGGTTGCAATGTCTTAAAATTTAATAGGATAGAAAAAGCGCTATATTAGTATATTATATTATATTGTATTATTTAATCAGTACTCTACAGGTCAGTATTTAAATCACTAAGGTCTTAGACAATAGATGCTTGTCAAAAGTCTACCAAATGTTCATTCCCAGTGTCAGCATTAAGCTTTATTAAGTTAATGAGCCATAAGTGGTGTTTACTGCTGTTAGTCCATCTATCTGCAAAACCAGCAAGTCTTTCCCAACCGTGTCCTTAAACACCGCATTATATATTGGGAGGGAATGAATTCTATGGTTATTCACAAGCACACCCGTTATTGCAGGCATGTGAATACATACACAAATTTTAAAGAACACATATTATGCATTCTTGTGGCTTTAACATGGCCTTTTCTCACTTCAAATCATGTCTATAGACTTTATGAACTACACAATGAGAAAATAAACAAATTAAGCTTAGGCAACATAAAAGCTATGCTAATGAAACAAGTCCGAGGATGGTTTATGGGCTTAAAAAAAAGCATGGGAAGTCTGGCTACTGAGTACTTAGAGATGACTCTGAATGAATGGATTAATTAAACAATGAAACAAAATACAACTATGTTTTTGATGAGGGGACAACAGAGGGGTTAAAAGCTCAAAAAAGTACATTTTGAACAATATTTGTGATTTAAGGCATATAAACTTCAATAGCTTTCAATCCGCTTATAAATAAAAAATAAAAAAAACATGTGATTCCCCTTCACCTTTCAGACCTCCATTACATTGCAACTTCCCTCTCCTTTTATTCACCAATGTAAACTCTATCCAAACACATGGCGTTTCCACATGGTTGCTTGGTAACTGTGCTATAACTTCTTGAACCATTTACCTTGAAATTACATTTACGAGACTCCGGCATGTTCAAATACCCCATTATGTGTTCGGTATGTTGGTTTGGGAATGGGATCAGTTTTTGCAATGCTGCCAGTTTTCTCATGGTTTTTGG